AGGTTCTTCATGATTAGATTACATCAATGACTTAACCTAATTATAAAACCCTTGCATTAATAAATTGCTATTCATTATTTTTATATATTAATTTTAATTTATCAATTTATGATATCAAATATATTATTATATATTAATATCAAATATATTATTATATATTTATAACAAATAATTGTTAAATTCGAAATATTAAAAACTTCAAAATCTATATGAAACTTATAATTGATATGAATTTATATTAATCTTATTAGATTTTAGTGAAAATTTCTATTATAACCTTTATTTTAATATCATTGAAAATAAATATAGATGATCATACTTATTAATCTGGATCTGAAAATGTATATTCTTTATTTTAAGATTAACGTATTAATGCCTAAATTACAAATTCCATTAAAATTAAAAACTTATTTTTAATTGAAAATTCACAACATTTATAATGATTTAATTTTAAAACAGTATTCTAAACAATTTCCTTCTTATTTTGATCAATAAAATGTTGTAGATGAACTTTGTGAATAAAAAGATTATCCAAAAACAAAATTATTTTATAATTGATGGCATTATTAAATTTTGCAAGTGATTATTTTAAAATTAATCTAATATCTGTTGAATGAGATGAACTCCTTGTTAAGAATTATGCAGTCAATTATGATACAATTTTTATATATTAATCATTACGATATATTTGAAGGCTAACTGTGTATCAGAATTATGAATCATAAATGTTTTATAATATGTATTATTTTACAACAATTTATTTATCTATCATAAAATAATGAGATTAATTCTTATTATTATAGCAAAATTAGAAAAAAGATTCTTTAACGAAAACACCATGGATATATATTCAATATTACTCTGTTTTTTTACATTTTTTGATTTCATCTTATTTAATCATTCGTTTTGCCTTTTGGATTCCAGTTTTATTGCAGTAGAATAATAGTCTTTAAATTGATTTCAAATTATATAAATTTCCTTATAACATAATAAGTTCTAATAGAATAATGAAATTTAAATTAAAAATAAAATTCAAGCTTATTCATATAATAAAATTCTATAAGGTCTAATATCTTGGATGTTGTTTACAACAAAAATATTGCTTGATTACATCTATTAGCTTTATTTAACAGACTAAGGTTTGCATCTTGACATTATGGCTACTCTAAACTTTCGAGTTCCAATAGGTACTTCAGTTGAGTAACCCTGAGTGACTGAAATTCTATCTGAAAAATAAACTCCGATTCCAACATCATTTTAATAGCCCTAACCAGGTCCTGGCTTTAAACCAGTTTAAACAATAGATGTTACAAAATGATGTTTAGTACCATGATATAATATTCTCCATTCATTTTAATTCCCATCTTTTTTAATCCAATTTTTATCCTATCCAAATTTGTCAATCTTCAATCCAAACCCCTGACATTATCTTGGATAATAATAATCATATTTATATGTTGGAGGACCTCGTTGTTATTTCTCCTAATGTTATTTCCAATTTTTATTATGCGATGGATCAAAATCATCCAAACAAAAATTAATCTTATTTTAACTAGAATTATTGGCTAAAATGAAGAAATTGAGATAATCAACTGAACACCAACATACATTTTCAAGAAAATTAATTTAATTTTTGTTAAAAGGCTTAACAAATAGATCTCTAATAGAAGATATCTATTTAAATTATGTAAAATCAGTCTATATTAAATCTCTTAATTAACATTGTTATTCTTTTAATTTTTGTAATTATCTATATTCTTCTTAAAGTTTAGTTTCCATCAAAACATAGAATAAGACTTCTATATTTGATTTTTCTATAAGTTAATTAACATGATAAATTTATTCAGATAACTTCTTTTATGTGTCCTCTCTATTATTTTTAATTTCTATCATGATAATTTCTATTAAAATAATTGAATTTATTATTTATTATAACTTAATAATTAAAAAGTAATAGAATATTAAATTTGGATTTTTAATGAAATCAATTTTCTATTAATGTATATTTTTATATTTAAAAAATGAATTGACAAGATAGTAAAATTTATTTAATATTTTAATTAAATAATGAAAAAATGATAATATTAATTCAATTTTAGTACAAAATTTATATAAATTGGTAGCAATAAATATCTCTATAATAAATTTTCAATACATCCATCGGATCTTAAGATTCTACTTTTGATATAATTAAGTTTCATGCCAAAAACATATCGCAACTTAGTATTAATTTAATTTGATTGCAATTAAGACTTTTAGAATTAAAAAGTAAGAAATTAGATTATGATTTTTGTTGAATTATAAAGGTCTTGAACTAAATAATAATTACTAAAGCTACGACAAGAGGTAATTTTCTTAAATATATTGATAAATATTTTAATATTAAAAATAGTAAATAAATTAGAGGCAAAAAAGGATTTTGATTATAAGTTTGGATGGTGAGATGTTAAATCAACAGAATTCAAATTTGATATAATTGAATATATAATCTTATGTATTTGGGAAAGTTAATTTTGCTAATTAACAACATTAATTTGATTAAATTGAAAATGAAGAAGAATCACAAGAATAATAACTAAATTTCAGAATAAATTAAATAAAATTCTAGACTTAAAATCAAAAACATTATCTTTACAAAAAAATAATAATAATATAAAGAAGCATTTTAATTTTTGACTAAGTTATCTCAAATAATTTAAAATTGAAAAAAATAGACTTTATGTATATAAGATATTTTTAACTCTTTATATAATAAAATCATTATATTCAAAATTGATAATGTAATGATTGATGTATTATTTTATAATAATAATCTGATTTTCTAAAGAATATGAAATCTTTATAGTCATAATAGTAGTAATTCTATTGACCTATTAATCAGGATCATAAGCATTTGCTTCCGAGAAGGATAACAAAACTTAGTATTTATAGATATCGATTATTCATTAATCAAATATTTATTTATATAAATAATTTTAAAAACGAAAATAATATTCTATCTAAATTTAATAAATGAGAGCATAATCATTTATTTTTCTAATAGGCCAAAAAGAGTATTGATATTTATTATATGAGGATATTTAAATAACTAAGAAAATTTTGGTAAAATAGAAGCAATGTGTATCTTAAGTGGAAAATGTCATTAAAAATATTTTATTATTATAAATTCAAAATAATATATATTTATTAATTTTAAATTATAGATTTGTTTCTATTAAATCTTTAAATTCTTAGCAAATTGTGTTTTATAAGTTACTCTTAGTTGAAAATAATTAGTTTATATTTTACCCAATTAATTTTCAAATAAATTAATATGTTTATATTTCATATCATTTTTTCTATAATTTCTGTTTATGCTGATCATCTATTTGAGTAAGGAGAGGTCAGCCACTTCAACTATGCTAGTAATCCTAACTTAATCTTATTCAATACTACTACAAAATTTAGGCAAGAAGAACTATTTATACCATTTGCAAAATAATTTTCCTAAGTACCAGATGTGTACCTAAATATCATGTTATTGGATTTTGAGTACACATTTCCTTAAGGATATTCATTAGATATAACTAGTATTAGCACAATGGGTAATATTTCCTCATTATTTTTTTTAAGGTTTTACAGTAAAGGTTGTTTGTGAGAGCACAGAATAATATTATGGATTTCATTTCAATTGGTTTGCATTTAATGATGAAAGTGTCTAAGTTATAAACAACTTGAATATCACTAATCCAAACTCTTAATATACCCATTCTTATAATAAAAATTGTAAGATAAATGTGGCTCTGTCTAATTTTGTTAGTTATTATGCTGTAGGTCCTTAATTTAATAATTTAACAGTATGTAATTATATTATTTAGGGATTATCATTAACATCTGAAAGTGTGACTATAAGTTTTTACAATGAGAACCTTAAACAATTTGGATATTAAATATTATTAAGTTCATCTGATTTTATTTTAATTGGTCCAACTATTACGGACATTTCACTATATGGTTCAAGTTAAATTGTCAGTTTTCCATCAGGGTGGGACACATAAAATTGTTATCCTTAGCTTCTTGGATTAAAACATGATGGCACTGCTTAAAACCTTAGGTTATCTGGAAGTGTTACATATTCCCCTGGAGTAACTGTAGGATTTTACCCTTGTAATGAATTATTAATATTTTAGGGTTTACATCTATAATTTAATCACTCTAATACAATTATTTTTGTATTAATGATGCTTATTTTGATTTGGCAGTATTTGGTGGCTTATTATAAAGTAAATTTTTTGAAACTAAACATTAAATAGAAACTCATATAGAAATTTCTGAAATAAACTATTTTTAAAATCAAAATATTGAAGAGGAAATTACCATCCAAAATGGCATTCAATTTATATAAATTATATATTATTGGAAATGTTTAGGTTATGAATAATTAAAGTTACAAGTATTTTGTCCAGAAGTGTGGTGTTCTTCTATTTAGATCTAATGTAATATTAATAAAACTAATACAATAAGATTAAAAGCAAAATTTACTTTACAATAAGTTAATAATAATATATAAATATTATTAAAACTTCCACATCATTCATTGCGACCTAAATTATAAAATAACAAAACCCATTCTAAAAAGTATTATTTAAAGCTTAAATGTTATAATGATTTCATATTGCATTTAATATTTTAAATCAAAAATTAACATTAGAATTGTTAGTTATGTATCCATTCTTCTGTTTTTCAATAAAATTTGTTCATTTTTACCCTTTAATCTTATTTTGGTTGATTTTTTCATCAATATATTATTTAGTTAAAATTTAAATTAGAAATAACATCATCACAAATTAAATGTCTTGTATATTATATCTGAATTACTCATAAAAAAAGATTAATGTTCTTTAAGGAATCAAAAAAATTATCATCTTGAATAATATCTCTGATTAAATATTAAATAACTATAATTCTTTGAAAGACACCCTTTTTAATTAAATTAATAAATTGATTTTCTATTAAATATTATGGATCAAAATGAATAAAAAGAATATATATTCAAAGATATCTGTCTTTCATCTATATTCTGCAAAGATAACTCTTGCTAATTAGATCATTCTAGAATATTTGTGGGAGTTTGCATTGATTATTTAAGAGATGAATAATAATATTATAATGATGGAGGAGATGATTTTTCATAATCGAAATGCAAGAACAAGAATTGTAACTTATGGCACTTTAACTCAGAAAAGTTTAATGATTAAGTGTCTAAAAAACCAATAAACGGTATATATCCTCATAATCTATGTCCTAAAAGTTGTAAATCTGAAGATTGTAAGTATTTACATAGAGAATGGGCTCAAAAAGTGTGTTTTGATTATATTCTCAAAGTTTGTAGAAAAGCTAAATGTGATTTTAATCATGTGCGTTGGGAGGCAGATTTCTTTAAAGAAGAAGCTAAATCTTGCTCAATAATTAAGGATACTACTCCAGAAGATTAGTGTGAAAAAGAAAAATGTAATTGTGGAAAACATCCTGTTTGGTTAAAAGATTATTGTGTAAGATATTTGAAGGGAATATGTCCAAATAAAAAATGCTTAAAAAATCATACTGATTGGGAAAAGATTAACAATCGAATCAACTAAACGAATGCTGTAAAATCATGTATTGTTATTGCAAAAGAAAGAAAAAAATTAACTCAAGATATTCCAAGTTTCAATGAAATAGTATTATTGTGCCAAGAATCAGAGTTTAATCATTATAAAAAATGGTTTTAAGAATAAAATATTATTGATGTTGTATTTATTATGGATTTAACTGGGTCTATGAAACCTTGGAAAGAGATTATGCAAAAAACTATAGCTAAAATTATAGATTCATTTTTAAATTCAATTAATGGATATCAAGTTAGAGTTGCTTTTGTAGGTTATAGAGATATATGTGATGGGGATGATAAGTTAGTTTATTTTAGTTTTACAAAAAAAATTAATGAAATTCAGAATTTTATATAAAAAATAGAAGTGAAAGGAGGTGGAGATGAAGCAGAGGATGTAGTCTCTGCATTTGAATAAGCTTTAAAACTTAATTTTTCTCATCATTAAGACAGTTTACTATGTACATTTTTACTTGCTGATGCTCCTTGTCATGGAAGAGATTATCATAATATTCAATCTGATGATTTAATTGATAAAATGCCTAAGAATTATTTTGAAAATGTTTTGGAGAAATATAAATAAATAAAAAAGAATAATTTTTTATGTTGTGTTAAAATCAATAATAGAACAGATATTATGTTTGAGAAAATGAAAGCAATAATTCCATTGTTGACAATAACAACAGAAAAAAAACCTGAAGAATTAGTAGATGTAGTTGGATTTACATTAAGAATGTCTGTAACAGAATCCAAAAAGTTAAAATCTTAAATTAATGATAAATTCTAATATTTTAAAGCAGATTTTGAAAAACTTAAATTAGATACTATAGTTACTGAATATGAGGATGAAAATTATTGGAAAGCATATCATGAAATGATTGATTCATTGAAAAGAAAAGGTTAAACAGGTTTAAAAATATCAATTGATATTAATGAATTAAATAAAGAAAAAGATAATTCTTCTACATATATATTTAAGGCCTTTGATGCTATCAATAATAGGGAAGTTATTCTTAAAATTCCAAAAAAAATAGTTGACAATAAAGGTCCAATTAGTAATGAAGATATCAAAGAGGCTGAAGAAATTGCATAGGTAAGATTTTACTCATCTTGCTATGCTTGTTAAATGGCATATTTTTTTAATTAAAGATTAAAAGATTATAAACTATTAAATGAAATGCAACCTCTCTTTTATGCTCACCCAATATTGTACAAATTAGATACACCATTCTATGGAATGAAAACGATTTATGGTGAAACCTTTATACAGATTAAATATAAATTTGAAAAGTATACTACAAATAGTGTATATTCTGATAAAAATAAATATTTTTATTCAGCATTTAGTCATTTTTCATTTCAAGCTAGTTAAAAAAATTTAGTCATTATGGATTTACAAGGATGTAATAATATCCTAGCAGATCCTTCAATCTAAACCGATTAGAATTGGAATTCAATTTTAGATAAAGATGATACTAATAGAAAAAATAAAGGAATTGAAGATTTTATATCAATTTAACATAAAGAATGCAGTTAATTATGTAAAAAATTATAACTCTAATAAATTAATTAAAATTCTTAAATTAATCCTAATAGTTGTCCTCAAGAATTATTAAAAAATATTTATGGAATATGTTATGATTGTGATGAATTTGTTAATTTAGAAGTGGAACCACTTGAAAATGAAAAGAATAAGAAATATAAATTTAATTGTCAGTTTTGCTTAACTGAGTCTTAAAATATATTAAATTCAGAATGCAAATGTTGTCACTATATATACTAAACTCCTATTAATAAAGAAATTAAATAATAGACAAATTTGGGTTTATGTCAAGATTGTAAAAATAAATGTATAAATCAGGCTAATAAATGTCTTTATTGTAAGAGAAGTTGTCAAAAAATACTGAAAGAGATAACTATTAATAATTCACCTTATTATTTATGTGAAAATGCCTTAGAATATCTCTAAGCATTTTAATGTAATAAATGCAATAAACCATATAAAAGAAATTGTATTATTTCTATTGAAGATTATGATAAGAAATCATTTTCTTGTTGTTGATAGAATAATATTATAAATAAATCAATATTTTATATTAATTTATTTTTATTTTTTAGATATTTTTTATCTTAAATAGCTTATAATACCAAATTATATTGGTTTAATTATTCTTATGATCTCTTTAGATATCTAATTCATAAGTATTACATTCATTTTAAAAAGACTAATCATGAATCTTTACTTTATTATTTAAAAGAGATTAAGTTGATTTTCCTTTTTATTTATTGATCAAATATTTTAAATGATTAAAGATCATTATGTGATTTATTTTTAGCATTTATAAATTAATATATTTATATGCTTAAATAATAAAAAATTATTTTTTTCCCATTCCTGAACTCTACTATAAATATAGAATATTGTTGCCAAAGATTTTTATTAAAGATTTATTTTTATAACAAATTGAAATTTAGAGATTAGTTATTATTATCTATGGTATTTTTACAATACTTTATATTCATTTTTTAATTTTAGTTTATTCAAGCTCAGTCATCCAAGTTGTAATAGCTATTTCCTATACTCACTAGCATCTTTAATATTAATTATTCTAGTTAAGGTTATTGAAATAGCATTTATAATTAATTTCTTTTTTTCACAAGCTCTAATTCCTTCTCAAAATGTATTTGAATCAAAAATTAATAAAATTCCTTCTTAATCAAGACTCTTCAATGCATCCAATTAAACCCTTAAATGTATCCAATTAAAAATTAAACTAATCCTACAATAAGCATTGTAAAATTTTGCATCTAAAATCTTCGATTTTCAATTTCCATATTATGCTAGCTTAAATAAAATCAACCATCTATCATTAAAATTGAAAATTCATAAATTTTAAGGTGTCTTAAATGTAATTTAAAACTTTCTTAATTACTTTAAATGATTTCGTCAATAGCTACTTACTTTTATTTCAAGTTATTTATTGTATTTATGAGTCACTCATTAAATTTAACAAAGAAAATACTATGTTGTAATAGCAATCTTATTCACGAATTATTTAAAAATTCAACATTTAATAGATTTCATTTAAAATAAATACCTAATTATTAATGCATTTTTAATTTTAACTAATATTATAGAAATTTTAGTATAAATAAATGAAGTTAAATACTATTAATGAAAAATATAATATTAAATTATGTTCCTATTGTTAATACATATTTAATAGACACTTATAATATATATAATAAAATCATTTTTTGATTTGTTTATAGGCAACATATCCACCTCCTATTGCTGCGCCTACTCCAACAGCTGGTAAAGCAATGGCTCCTATTCCTGCCATTGCTGTTCCTTAAGCTAGAGCAAATAAACTTCCTGCTGCTACATTTCCAATACTGGCTTATGCGGCTGCAGCCATACTTCCTGCAACTGGCCCAACTGAAGAAAAGCCGTAAATTGCCAATCCTGCTTTAGTAAGAACAGTGCCTGTTCCTGCTACAATTCCTGTTATATAGCTTCCTTGCTTAATATTTTACCAGAAGCCAGGTTTCTTTTCTTATTAATCCATTTAATATTAATATTATTAATAGATAAATAATAAAGTTTATAAAATTTAAAAAGTTTACAAAATTTCGGTGCCTAATATAATAAATTTTTTCTGTTAAATTCTATTAATTAAGCAAAATTATATTCTATAAAATTAAATATATTAGATTAAGAATAAAAAAATAAAATTTTCACAAATAATAAAATAGTATTAATAGGAAACAACAGACCAAGTATGTAATAACGTAAATCTTATAATTGAATAAATTAATAAATAGGTGAATTCTTTCAAATATAAAATTTAATTTTTGAATGGATCAAATAGAACCTTTAAGAATAAATAACTATTTTTAAATAATAAGAGAGATATATCTTTTCAATAAATACAAAATAAATTTATTAGGGCAGAAAATAAATAAACTTTAAATTGTTTAGATGTTATCAAAATCAAAATCATCAATTATAATATATTGATTATTGCTTAAGGTTCAATAGATTTCAATCTTTCAGTGATTGTCTTTATAAACAAGTGAAATTATGAAATTAGTATTATGTTCACGTTAAATTTGCAGTTAAAGAAATAATAAAATACAATAATCTTTGATTAAAAATGTATGATTATTTACATAAAATATTAAAGTTAATTTAGATATATATATCAATATAATTTTCATTATAAAATGAATAACTTAATGAATATATATAATCTGATATGATTAAAAAAATTCAAATAAATAATGATAATTAAGATAAGCCTATATAATTTAAATAGTTCAGATGAGATGAAAGAAACCTTTATATTTTATGATTATAAAGAGATCATAATAATATTTAATTGAATAAAAGAATGCTATAGAAATTATGATACACTAATTAAGATAAAAAATCAATTTGATTAATAAATTGAAAAATAGGATATTGAATCAATAAATACTAAATAAAATTTTGGAAATTTGATAAACATCAAGAGGTTGATATGATAATATTTAATCTATCAATATATAACTGAACCTTCAAAAAAGGAAAATAACTAAATTATTTAGATATCTAAGGATTTAAGAGTGGGTGTACTCATAAATAAATGATTATTTAAAAAAGGATAAATTTGTTAGTTGTGATAAATAATTTATATATAATATTGTAAATTAATTTTGAGGATGAAAATAAGTCAATATTTTTATATCGTGAAAATCATTAGTAATTTTAAAGTGCTAAAAATTTTATACTATATACTAATTTTAATATTAATATATAGTATAAAATTTTAATGAAAAAGGGAATTCGATAGGAATTAAATTAATATGTTATTTAATAAATATTCTAAAATATATAATGATAGATCAAAAAGTATTAGATTTCCTGAAAGTTCGAAATTAATTTATAGAATGAGGTTATTTTAATAACTAAAACTTATTGAAATTTATCTTAACTGTATGGATTCATTCTTATATTCCAATTAAAAAATATAAACTACTTATATATTTATATTAAAATTATTCACAATTTTATCAAATTCTATAAGTATAAAAATATCCTTAATTAAAACTGTTTTCAAAATAATTGCCACATAAATTTATTATAAAAATGAATATAGTTAGTATTATCATATTTATAGGCTTATTTTCATCCGTTATTTAGAGTTAAGGATGTAATCAAACATGTGAAACTTGTGATAACAATAATCCTGATAAGTGTTTAAGTTGTATTCCAGAATTTAAAAGATAAATTCAAGGAGATTAATGTATATGTTAGGAAGGATATTAAGAGGATTTTCCTAATCTAAAATGTCTACCTATATGTGGAGATGGAATACTTGTTGATGGGGAAGATTGTGATGATGGGAATTATGATCCTTTTGATGGTTGCAATTAATGCAAATTAGGTTGTTAAGATAGTTGCTAGGATTGTTAAAATGGATAATGTTATGAATGCAAAGTGAATTATATATTGGATGTTAGTATAAAAATATGTTAAATAAACTGTCTTGATGATTNATATAATTTAAATAGTTCAGATGAGATGAAAGAAACCTTTATATTTTATGATTATAAAGAGATCATAATAATATTTAATTGAATAAAAGAATGCTATAGAAATTATGATACACTAATTAAGATAAAAAATCAATTTGATTAATAAATTGAAAAATAGGATATTGAATCAATAAATACTAAATAAAATTTTGGAAATTTGATAAACATCAAGAGGTTGATATGATAATATTTAATCTATCAATATATAACTGAACCTTCAAAAAAGGAAAATAACTAAATTATTTAGATATCTAAGGATTTAAGAGTGGGTGTACTCATAAATAAATGATTATTTAAAAAAGGATAAATTTGTTAGTTGTGATAAATAATTTATATATAATATTGTAAATTAATTTTGAGGATGAAAATAAGTCAATATTTTTATATCGTGAAAATCATTAGTAATTTTAAAGTGCTAAAAATTTTATACTATATACTAATTTTAATATTAATATATAGTATAAAATTTTAATGAAAAAGGGAATTCGATAGGAATTAAATTAATATGTTATTTAATAAATATTCTAAAATATATAATGATAGATCAAAAAGTATTAGATTTCCTGAAAGTTCGAAATTAATTTATAGAATGAGGTTATTTTAATAACTAAAACTTATTGAAATTTATCTTAACTGTATGGATTCATTCTTATATTCCAATTAAAAAATATAAACTACTTATATATTTATATTAAAATTATTCACAATTTTATCAAATTCTATAAGTATAAAAATATCCTTAATTAAAACTGTTTTCAAAATAATTGCCACATAAATTTATTATAAAAATGAATATAGTTAGTATTATCATATTTATAGGCTTATTTTCATCCGTTATTTAGAGTTAAGGATGTAATCAAACATGTGAAACTTGTGATAACAATAATCCTGATAAGTGTTTAAGTTGTATTCCAGAATTTAAAAGATAAATTCAAGGAGATTAATGTATATGTTAGGAAGGATATTAAGAGGATTTTCCTAATCTAAAATGTCTACCTATATGTGGAGATGGAATACTTGTTGATGGGGAAGATTGTGATGATGGGAATTATGATCCTTTTGATGGTTGCAATTAATGCAAATTAGGTTGTTAAGATAGTTGCTAGGATTGTTAAAATGGATAATGTTATGAATGCAAAGTGAATTATATATTGGATGTTAGTATAAAAATATGTTAAATAAACTGTCTTGATGATTTGAAGGTAGGAAATCCATTATGTTATAATTAAGATTGTTTTGATCATTGTGTATTATGTGAATTTGGAATATGTAAGAAATGTGATGAAACAAATGGATGGTATTTGAATGAGTTTAAATGTGAACCAAAATGTGGAGATGGAATAATTGTTTAAAGTTTAGAATAATGTGATGATGAAAATATATATCCATTTAATTATTGTGATTAATGTCAATTAAGATGTCCAGATAATTGTTTAATCTGTTCAAATGGAATATGCATATAATGTATATTTGGATTTAAATTGATTTCAAAAATAATGAAATGTATACCTTTTTGTGAATATAATAACTTGATCAATTATTATGATGAATGTGTAGACAGTTTAACAAATAAGTTAATTTTATTAAATTTTAATTGTAATATTAATTGTTCATAATGTATTAATGGAATTTGTATTAAGTGTTAAATTGGATATTTATTAATTGATGATTAATGTAGACAAATATGTGAAGATGGTATTTAATTTTAAGAAGAAATATACAATAATAATTTAGAGTTATATTAATAAACTTGTTAATATTCTAATTTCATTTGTAATCATGAATGCTTATCATGTTCAAATGGACATTGTGAATTATGTAATGTAGGTTTCAATTTAGTAAACAACTAATGTTAAAATATTTGTGGAGATAGTATTATTGTTGGTGAAGAATAATGTGAGGATGGTAATGAGATTCAATTTGATGGGTGTTACAATTGTTAATTTTAATGTTAATAAGAATGTATTAATTGTCAATTTGGGAAATGCCTTGAATGTTAAATTGGATATGAGAATATTAACTTTATTTGCCATGAATAATGTAATAATTAAATTATTACATTTAATGAATTATGTGATGATGGTAATTTAGAACCATATGATGGATGTTTTAATTGTAATTATTCTTGTGATGAATAATGTGAGATATGTACTAAAGGTCTTTGTTTAAAATGTTATGATTTAGGATGGGAAATTAATTAAGAAAATAAGAAATGTACAACTATTTGTGGAGATTAATTAATTGCTGGGGATGAGTAATGTGATGATGGTAATGAAATTAAATATGATGGATGTTATTAATGTTAATATTAATGTTAAAATGAATGTATTAAATGTATAAAAGGAATTTGTTATGAATGTAATGGACCTAATTGGATATTGAAAAATAATATATGTGAATGTGAAACATGTTAAAATTTATGTTAAAATGAATGTTTAACTTGTATAAAAGGAATATGTTATGAGTGTAAATCTCCAAGATGGATTTTAGATATCAATAATAATCTATGTATTTAAGAATGTGGAGAATAATGTATTGAAAATATTTGTGGAGATGGAATATTAAATCTTTAAATTGAAGAATGTGATGATGGTAATAATGATATAAGAGATGGTTGTGATAAATGTATTTTAGAAAAAGGATTTGTTTGTTATTATGATGAAAATTTGATATATTAAGGATGTTCTAGATGTTAAGATTTGAATTGTCTTTAATGTAATGATATAGATAAATAATAAATTTGTTAGGAATGTCAATAAGGTTATTTTTTAGATGAATTTCAACAATGTTCATAATGTGATTAAATATGTGTTGAATGTAATCAAAATTATAAGAATTGTACAATTTTTAATTCACAATATTTAAATGAATAAAATTAGCATAGATGTAATTTACATTTAGTATCCCTTAATGATATTAATTTATATGAATGCATTTCAAAATGTGGAAATGGTGTTTTAGATGTTTATGAATAATGTGATGATAATAATAGAGAAATTTTAGATGGATGTAATGAATTTTGTCAATTAGAGGAAGGCTATTTATTCAATCTATTAACTAATACTTTATAAATAGAACCATATATTAAAGTAGACAAAAAATAATCCAATAATAATTTTTATTCACTTTTGATAAATTAAAATTAAGAATCATTAAATTTATCAAGTTTAGTAGTCAATATTGAGGGATTTTTATAAATAGATTATAATTATAGTGTCATTGAAAATAATAATTAATTAGATTTATAATTTTAATTTAATAAAACAATAGAACCTAATAATTTAATACATATATCTATATCTTATAAATAATAATATCAAAAAAGAGAATTATAAGAAGTATATATAAAAGAAATAATAATAGTTCCTAATAGATAAGTTTATGTAAATGAAGAACAAAGACTTTAAGGTGAGAATATGGCTTAAGGTTATTAAACATTATTTTCTGCTTAAATATATTTAGCACCTCTAGCAATAGTGTTTGGAGGATTCTAATTTTTTTTGGCTATCCTTGACATTATGAGTTGGATGAATAACTTTTATTTTTTAAATGTTAATTATCCAGAGAATGTAAGGATTATATTTTTATAAGCTGAATGGAGTAATATCATTAATTTACCATCTTTGCAAATCTTTAATAAACCATATGATAATTATTATTTTGAAGCCCCAATAAAATTTTATGAAAAAGAAATAGATCTTATGCTATTTAACAATATATAAACTCCAATAATTTTTGTATTCTAAGTGTTATTTACTTATCTCTTTAGTGTGATATTTATAAAGTTAATTGAACAAAATTACAGAAAAAATATAAAATAAATGTCTAAGTCAAACATCTTTTAATTGGGTAATAATAGATAGAATTAAGAATCTAATACTTCTCATTTGTATTATGAGTTGGATATACCAAAATCACTTTAAACTTTCTTTAAAAAATGTATTTATTTAAAGAGTAATTTAATGGCTAATTTAATCAGATCATTTTCTTTAAGTTATTTAGATATTACTTTAGCAGTTCTCCTTTAAATTACTAATTAATAAACATCTTATAACTTTATTGTTAAAATTAATGTAATAATTGCTTATGTATTTCTTATATTAATTTTATATCTTATTTATACATCATATATAATATCTTAAGCACATCAATTAAAATTAGAGAATAAATTGTTTTTTTCAAGATATTGTTGTTTTTATGAGGAAATTAATACTGAATCCTAAACTGCAATGACATATTCTTGTATAAATTTAATAAGGAAAACTATTTTTATTGTTTCAACTATTACTTTATATTCTTATCCCATCTTCTAAACATTATTATGCTTTCTATCATGTCTATTAAATATACTATTATTATTATCAAGTAATCCATTTAAAAGCAAAAAATAATATATCTTAAATTTAGTTCCTGATTTTTGCATATTTGTAATTGTAGGTTGTACTATTATTTTTGCATTTTAAGACAGATTTAAAATATTAAAGAATGAATAAATTTATTAAATAGGATGGATTGTTGGAGTAAGTATCTATTTGTCAATTGGTTTGTAACTTATTTTTCTAATATAAGAAATACTTTTGTCTTTTTGGGAAGAAATAAAAGCATTTATTGGATATCTCAACCGAAAATGCAAATAAATTAAATGAATTAATAATTCTAATTATTTACATATTTAAATTTATTATTATTCTAATTTAAATATTTAATTAATTTAATTAATAAGAGTTCTAATATTATTATTAATATATAATTTTGAAATGATTAATTTAGATTAAATAGTTCTTATGAAATATGATTGTAGTCAAACTGAATTCAAAATAATATACCAAAATATATAATAATACTTCTCAATACATAATTATTCTATTATGAATTATATATAGAATAATCCTTTAACTATAACTATCAATTACTAATATTGAATAAATATTTTGTGAATTTTAATCATAATTTATATTAGTAAGCTACTTTTAAATCATATATTTTTCAACTAATTTATAATATTCTAGATAAAGTAAAAATACTCTGATTGAAAGAAATTAACTAGAAAAGTATTATTTAAAAGTATTTTATTATGAAAGTAAATGGTTATAAGAAAAAAGAGTTGAGGATGATCCTTTAGACAATATAAAAGTGAGGATCAATTAAGAAGATTGAAACTGATATGACTTAATCAAAGTCTCAAAACTTCACTTTCAATAGTCACTAAAAAATAACCTAATTTGTTATATTCACCAAATTAAAATAAATAAAATCAGTGCAACACTTAATAATTAAAAAGTGAAAATTTGTAAGTGAATAAATGAGTAATACAAAATTGGAAGAGACATTTAATGAGAAAAGAAGAATAGATTTATAGATTCACCAAATCTAATTTATTCATGAATTATAAGGAAAAATATCTTATTAATAGTTCGTGAAAGAATGATACAATTTAATTTCAAAGAGAATGAAAGAGATAGGTCTAACTGTAATAACAAGAACTTTTATTGAACTCTATAAACAATATTTAAATAGATGATTATTATATTATAATTACTAAAGTATAACTATAGTCAATTTCTATAAGTGTCTATTATTTAATCAATTTAAACAATATTTTAATATCAGTTTAACACCAAAATAGATTCTAACAGATTATTTTATAATTTTCTTAAAAAAAATTACGTCTTGGTAAAATTGAGATTAAATTTATGTAAGCAAATATTATTAAATCAACTACTCTTTCAATCCAATACTTTACCATTTAAGTTTTATTTGGAACTCTATTAGAGTAATGGAGGATAAAAGCAAGATGAAATTCAACATGGTATTAGTTGAAGTACTTTCATCACTTCAAAAGAGCCTTCTGAGAATTATAAAAGGGTTCCACCTAATTTGTCAAACAATCTCACCTTCATCTAATCTCCTACAAGTAATTAAACCATTCTGAATACTGGACTTGAGAAAAGAACTAGATAATCAGTCTTCTATGTGGATTCATGGTAGGTATCTGATGCTTTAGTCATCTTTTCTCTTTGTAAGGATGGTTGATATTTGGCTTTTCTCATTTCTAGGAATCCATTTATTTGATCTTTACCCTAATAAGAATTTCATCAGAAATATTAAATTATACCTGATAGAAACTCCCTCATAGTAGGTCAAAAAAGTAATAAATGAGAAATGCTATTAGGATATCCTTTAAAAGCTAAAGGTAATATAGTCTGAAGAATTAAGAACTTCCCTTATATTCATAGATCTGGACCCATTGAATTCAAAGTATCTCTAAATCTAGGGATTCAGGCAAGATAGAAATGGAGGAGGATTTTCGGCAGCCAATATAATTTTAAATAAAAAAGAGTCAAAAAAACTGGGTTGGATCACTATTGATTAATAGTGGATATTAATCCTTAAGATCAAGCGATTTCAAAAAGTGGATTTAGTCATCTAGGTTAGGCTATAGATTCTCACTTAATAATAGGAAATTATTTTAATAATCCGTTTTCATATTAATTTGGTTTATTTTTGAATACCTTATAGATCTGTCAAACAAATAATATAAAATCCCCAGTTTTTATGAAATCTAGATTATTAAACTTAAAATACAAGTTTGAAATATAAGTTAAAAAAAGAGAAGAGAAAATTTTTAATTATAATGTATCTAATAATTTTAAATTGTTTATTAGTAGTTATACCTATTAAATTAATAATTTAATCAAGCAATAAAGCATTTGTTTAAAAATCTGAATATTTTTAAACTTTTTGTCTGAGATATCTAAGACGAAGGTTTGCCTCATCAGTATTTAATACTTCAATTCCAAAACTAAAAATAAAAAATAATCAATAAAATTATAATTTTATTCCTAATATTTGTAACTTTTCCAAAAAGATTTAATTGATTTTATTTTATTTTTAAGGAAATTCAAATATTAAATAGAATTGATACACTATTATAGTACACATAAAGTAGTACATTACATTAATTCAAGTATCATAATATAATACAAATAAAGTGAATATATTTAATTTCTAAATCTTTCCCTAAAAAAATAAATATCTTTTAAAAACAATAGGAATAAATGTTTAATTCTGTCTTCTTGTTCAACATGTTAAAAAAATTTTCAGATCTTTCAGATAAATTTTTATGATTAACAAATCATAAAAATTTGTAACTATGTAAATGAGGAATTACATATAATTAAAAAAATCAATATACCGAAGATAAGTTATAATCTCAATTGATCAGTTATTATTTCTATATCTTTTTTTGGTATTGTTTAAGAAATTAAAGGAGTTAAGAAAATAAAACATAGTTTAACATAATTTTTTTGAAATATTAGAGAAGTTTATAATAATAAATCTTAATTCGTATGAACTGAACTTAGCAAATTTATAAATACATATCTAACCTTATTAAATGCAATTTTTTACTATATTATTTTCTAGAATTTTGACTTGATATATTGATAATAAATGTAATTGAATATATATTTATTTAACTCTTATACTAGAATAAATTTGTATAAAAATTCAAACTATTTGTAAGATTATTTAAAGGCTACTCTAATCCTTAACTACTAAAAAATATTTATATTTAGCATATGATCAAATATTTATAAATCTTAGTTAAAACAAATTAGATGGTTTATAAATATATCAAAATACTACTATTAAACTTGATCATGATAGAT